ATACTGAGGTGTGTGCCCTCTATCTCTACACTTTGAAGAGTTTTAATCAAGAAACGATGCTGTACTTTGTCAAATGCTGTTTCTGCATCTATTGAGAGTATCATATAGTTCTTGTTCTTTCTTTTATTAATGTATTGTATCACATTGATTTGCGGATGTTGAACCGACCTTGCAGTCCAGGAATAAATTCCACTTGGTCATGGTGAATAATCCTTTTAATGTACTGTTGGATCCTATTGGCTAGTATTTTGGTGAGAATTTTTGCATCCATGTTCATCAAGGATATTGGTCTGTAATTCTTTTTGATGGGGTCTTTGTCTGGTTTTGGGATCAAGGTAATGGTGGCCTCATAAAACGAGTTTGGAAGTTTTCCTTCCATTTCTATTTTTTGGAACAGTTTCGGAAGAATAGGTATTAATTTTTCTTTAAATGTTTGGTACAATTCCCCTGGGAAGCCATCTGGCCCTGGGCTCTTGTTTGTTGGGAGATTTTTGATTACTCCTTCAATTTCCTTAGTGGTTATAGGTCTGTTCAGGTTTTCTATTTCTTCCTGGTTCAGTTTTGGTAGTTTATACATCTCTAGGAATGCATCCATTTCTTCCAGATTATCTAATTTGCTGGCATAGAGTTGCTCATAATATGTTCTTATAACTATTTGTATTTCTTTGGTGTTGGTTGTGATCTCTCCTCTTTCGTTCATGATTTTATTTATTTGGGTCCTTTCTCTTTTCTTTTTGATAAGTTTGGCCAGGGGTTTATCAATCTTATTAATTCTTTCAAAGAACCAGCTCCTAGTTTTGTTGATCTGTTCTACTGTTATTTTGGTTTCTATTTCATTGATTTCTGCTCTGATCTTTATTATTTCTCTTCTCCTGCTGGGTTTAGGCTTTATTTACTGTTCTTTTTCTAGCTCCTTTAGGTGTAGGGTTAGGTTGTGTACTTGAGACCTTTCTTGTTTCTTCAGAAAGGCTTGTATTGCTATATACTTTCCTCTTAGGACCACCTTTGCTATATCCCAAAGATTCTGAACAGTTGTGACTTCATTTTCATTTGTTTCCATGAATTTTTTTAATTCTTCTTTAATTTCCTGGTTGACCCATTCATTTTTCTTTTTTTAAAGATTTTATTTATTTATTTGAGAAAGAGAGAATGAGAGACAGAGCACGAGCGGGAAGAGGGCAGAGGGAGAAGCAGACCCCCTGCTGAGCAGGGAGCCCAATGTGGGACTCAATCCCAGGACTCCAGGATCATGACCTGAGCTGAAGGCAGTCGCTTAACCAACTGAGCCACCCAGGCGCCCTGACCCATTCATTCTTTAGTAGGATGCACTTTAGCCTCCATGTATTTGAGTTCTTTCTGATTTTCCTCTTGTGATTGAGTTCTAGTTTCAAAGCATTTGGTCTGAAAATATGCAGGGAATGATCCCAATCTTTTGGTACCGGTTGAGACCTGATTTGTGGCCTAGGATGTGATCTATTCTGGAGAATGTTCCATGGGCACTAGAGAAGAATGTGTATTCTGTTGCTTTGGGATCGAATGTTCTGAATAGATCTGTGAAGTCTATTTGGTCCAGTGTATCATTTAAAGTCTTTATTTCTTTGTTGATTTTTTGCTTAGATGATCTGTCCATTTCAGTGAGGGGGGTGTTAAAGTCCCCCACTATTATGGTATTGTTGTTGATGTGTTTCTTTGCTTTTGTTATTAATTGGCTTATATAATTGGCTGCTCCCATGTTAGGGGCATAGATATTTACAATTGTTAGATCTTCTTGTTGGATAGACCCTTTAAGTAGGGTATAGTGTCCTTCCTTATGTCTTATTCTAGTCTTTGGTTTAAAATCTAATTTTTCTGATATAAGGATTGCCACCCTAGCTTTCATTTGGTGTCCATTAGCATGGTAAATCGTTTTCCACCCCCTCACTTTCAATCTGGGGGTGTCTTTGGTTCTAAAATGAGTCTCTTGAGCATATTGTCTTGTCTTGAGCATATTGATGGGTCTTTTTTTTTTTTTTTTTTATCCAATCTGATACCCTGTGTCTTTTGATTGGGGCATTTAGCCCATTTACATTCAGGAAAACTATTGAAAGGTATGAATTTAGTGCCATTGTATTGCATGTAAGGTAACTGTTACTGTATATTGTCTCAGTTCCTTTCCGGTCTATGTTACTTTTAGGCTCTCTCTTTGCTTAGAGGACCCCTTTCAATATTTCTTGTAGGGCTGGTTTTGTGTTTGCAAATTTCTTTAGTTTTTGTTTGTCCTGGAAGCTTTTTATCTCTCCTTCTATTTTCAATGACAGCCTAGCTGGATATAGTATTCTTGGCTGCATATTTTTCTCATTTAGTGCTCTGAATATATCCTGCTAGTCCTTTCTGGCCTGCCAGGTCTCTGTGAATAGGTCTGTTGCCAATCTAATGTTTCTACCATTGTAGGTTACATATCTCTTGCCCCGAGCTGCTTTCAGGATTTTCTCTTTGTCTCTGAGACTTGTAAGTTTTACTATTAGATGTCGGGTTGTTGACTTATTTGTGTTCATTTTGCGGGGGGTTCTCTGAGCCTCCTGGATTTTGATGCCTGTTTCCTTCCCCAAATTAGGGAAGTTCTCAGTATAATTTGCTCCAATATACTTTCTGCCCTCTCTCTCTTTCTTCTTCTGGCATCTCAATTATTCTAATATTGTTTTGTCTTATAGTATCACTTATCTCTCGAATTCTACCCTCATGATCCAGTAGTTGTTTATTTCTCTTTTTCTCAGCTTCTTTATTTTCCATCATTTGGTCTTCTATATCACTATTTCTCTCTTTTGCCTCATTTACCTTAGCAGTTAGAGCCTCCATTTTTGATTGCACCTCATTAATAGCCTTTTTGATTTTGACTTGGTTAGATTTTAGTTCTTTTATTTCTCCAGAGAGGGTTTCTCTAATATCTTACATGGTTTTTTCAAGGCCAGCTAGTATCTTTAAAATCGTCATCCTGAACTCTAGTTCTGACATCTTACTAATGTCTGTATTGATTAGGTCCCTGGCAGTTGGTACTGCCTCTTGTTTTTGTTTTTGTTTTTTTTTTTTTGAGGTGATTTTTTTCCATCTTGTCTTTTTTGTTAGAGGAGAATAGATGAATGAGAGAACAAAATGCTAACAGGGTAACATGTCCCCAGAAAAATATACACTAAACAAATCAGAAGAGACCTGAAACCAGGGGAAAAGAAAGGGAAAGAAAGAAAAAAGAAAAAGAAAGAGAAAAAGATAAAAGCAAACAAAAAAATATAAAAAACAGAATATGATCAAATATGATCAGGCTGGTGCTTAGATCAGTGCCACACACTAGATTTTGGGTGTATTTTGGTCTGTTAGAAGAAAGTGCCTCCCAAAATTTTAAAGAATGAAAAACTTATATATGTACAAAAATAAGGTTTAATACGATGAAGGGATGGAATATGACTATAAAGATGAAAATTATAAAAGATTTTATAAAAGGAATTGATAAGAGAAGAAGTTGGTTGAAAAAATAAAGAATAGGATTTGTAAAAAAAGGGAGAAAATGTGATCAGGCAGGAGACTAGAACAAAGCCATACACTAGAGATTTAGGGTATATTTTGGTCTATTAGAAGAAACTGTATCCAAAAATTTTAAAGAGAGAACAACATATATATATATATATATATATATATATATACCAAAAATACGGTTAACTACTATGAAGGGATAGAATATGACTCTAAAAATGAAAAATAATAAAGAATTTTTTATTGATCAGATGTTGGTTGAAAAAGGGAAAAAGAAAAATTAAAAAAAAAATTAACTTTGAAAGACTAAAGAATCATGGGAAAGAAGCCATGAATTCTGTGTGCTATATTCCCCTAGCGCTGGAGTTCTGCTGTTCTCATTGATCGGTAAACTTGGTCTTGGCTGGCTGTTCTCGCTGATCTTCTGGGGAGGGGCCTGTTGCCGTGGTTTCCAAATGTCTTTGCCGGAGGCAGAATTGCCCCGCCCTTGCCGTTTGGGGCTAAGGAATCTGCTCGGGTTTGCTCTCGGGAGCTTTTTTTCCCTGCAAGCTTTCTGTTCGGCTTTGGAGGAGGAGAGTGAAAATGGCGGCCTCCCAATCTCCGCCCCGGAGGAGCCGAGAACTCGGGGCCCGCTCCTCAGTGAGCCCCCAGAGAAAAGCCGTCAGTCACTCCCGTCTCCCTGGTCTCTGGCTGCAGTCCGTGCTCACCCGGCCTGTGACCGCGCGTTTCTGTCTCTGGCACCCGACCCCGGGTGGAGTCTCCAAACCCAGCAGATCCCTGCGATGCGCTCCAGCGCCGCTCCTCCCGGGGGAGGAAGGTGAGTCTCCCCGGATCTGCCGCTTGTTGGGTCCCTGCTGGAGGAGCAGGGGCCCGACTGTGCCGCAGATCACGGTTTAGGGCCACCCCGAGCTGAGAGCCCGCGCGTGGGCTCTGCCTCTGCAGCCGGCTTCCCCGCTCCGATACCTGGGAGCTCTGCCGCACTCAGGCACCCCCGGTCTTTCTGTGACCCCGAGGGTCCTGAGACCACACTCTCCCAGCGAGGATTCCAGCCCTCACTTAGCCACCGGAGTGACGTCCCTCAGTGGAGCTGACTTCTAAAGTTTCCAATTTTGTGCTCCGAGGCTCTATCACTTGCCAGAAGCGGCTGACGGAGGCCCCTCCCCCGCTGTCTATCCTCCCGAATATCGCCTCGGATTCACTTCTCTGCACGTCCTACCTTCCAGAAAGTGGTTGCTTTTCTGTTCAGAGAGTTGCTGCTATTCTTTTCTTCAATCTCCTATTGAGTTCGTAGGTGTTCAGAATGGTTTGATCCCTATCTAGCTGAATTCCTGGGACCAGACGAAATTTAGGTCTCCTACTCCTCTGCCATCTTGCTCCTCCTATCAATTGACTCCATTTTAGTTTGGCTTTACATTGTAATTATAGGAACTGGCTCAGAGAGGGCCCACTTCCCTTGCCTCTGAGGTCTTGTGTTGATCAAGTACTTCCGTGCTGTGCTGGCAGGTGTCACAGAAGAAGGAGGATCGGCATGTGAACTCCACATGACTTGGCCTGGGAAATGGATCAAATCCAGACTGGTGAGTACTGGGGCCTTGAGAGTAGTACGTGTGAAGTTTCTGAGGGTAGGGTGATGGGGGGCATTTGGCTTGGAGGCTGAGAAGGACCACCCTCAAAATAAAATTAAATCTTGGCTAAGGCAGATCATGTGTTTCAAAGTAGGTAGACTGAAGAGTTCTTTCTTTGGGTTAAAAATATAGCTGTTTATCTTCTTTTCATTTGAAATAGCTTATTTTGCAGTTATTTATGAAGAGATGCTATGAGCAAACAACATTTCACAATTAAGTACTTTACAGGATCTGTCAAAGAAGACAGAGAGTATCTTACTAACAACTGAATGTGTTCAAAAGCCTGGAATTCAACCACTTAGATACCATACTACATGCTAACTATGAAGTAACTGTGATTTTAGGTAAGAAGAAAAAAAGAAAACCCTTTGGTGAACAGAAAATAGTAATTCTTTTTTAAAAAATATTTATTTAGGAGAGAGAGAACGAGAGTGAGAGAGAGAGTAAGAGAGCACACAAGTGGGGGTGGGGTAGGGACAGACTCCCCACTGAGCAGCCTGATGTGGGGCTTGATCCCAGGACCCTTAGATCATGACCTGAGCCGAAGGCAGACGCTTAACTGACTAAGCCACCCAGATGCCCCAAGAAATTCTTTAATGCAAATTGTATTTGCTTTATATATATGTGTATATGTGCGTATGTATATATCTGAGTATGTACATAGTGTGGGCATAAGAATATATATGTGTTTATATATATAAAATTTACAACAGGCATCCTGTGGCGAGTTTGAGAGGGAGTGACCTGTCCTGGAGTGGGTGTAACTGTTCTTATCCATCTCTTTTCCACATTGAGGCTGGTCCCAGAACAGTGGCCCAGGTGCCCCAGTGCCAGGCACTGAGTGTGGGCGAGTAAATACAATCCTCCTGGAACTCTCCTGCTCCATTTTGGGTGATGCCACAGGGTGTGGGCTTGCTTTCGTTAAAGTAATTAAGCAAGGAGGCCATTAGACTGGGAAGGCTCTCATGCTTGGTATCCTACTGAGCAAACCAAAACTTCAGTCAGAGACAATGCCCTGGAATCTGAGAAAATCAAATGGAACAACAATCACAAACAGTCTACCAGGCTTTCCCAAATAAGGCAACCACTTAAACTATAACCATTCAGATAATTTTTTTGCTTTGCTTCCAAGCTTTCTCTCTAACAACCTCTACCCCTGTGCCCATCAGTGGAGTCCTCCCAGCCACGAACTCTGGTGCTGCCTGATTCCGGTTGATGTGTACTCAGCTAAACTTTTGAATATGTTAATGTGCTTCAGTTTGGATTTTAACTGTTTGCTTTTACTGCAACATAGTGGTAAAGAAAACTGGAAGTTGGGGGCATGCATAGAGAGAATAGGCCTCAGATCTGTTTTGGTTTGAGGCTTAGGAGAAAGAAAACTTCTACCTGGTTCAACTTGATTATTCGATTTCTTCTCTTGAGATTGGATTCAAGGCCTGGCTGGTATTAAAGTGCTCCTTTCCTCCTCTATGTCTGGGTAAGAGCAATGATAATAGGTAAGGTAATTCCCTTCTTCCTGAGTTTGCAGGCCATAATAATATCCAAATACCTCTTAATATGATTCTAGTTTCTAACACAGTACAAGATTCCCAGCCCTGCACAACCCGGTGATAGCCTACCTTTTGAGTTGTTCTATCATTAGATCTCTTGCTGTCTCCGGATTACATGATTTCATGAGATTTACTTTTGTGCTTTCCATTTTCATTGGCTAGCAGCTTACTTTCAATGCATCCTTCAAGGCTGTAATAGTTTCCTAGGGCCGCTGTAACAAATTACCACAAACTTGGTGGCTTAAGACAACATAAATTTATGCTCTCACCTTTCTGGAGGCCAGAAGTCCAAAACCAAGATGTTGGTAGAATTGGTTTCTTTTGGAGACTCTGAGGGAGACTCTGAGTCCCTCTCCCAGCTTCTGGTGGTAGCTGACAATCCTTGGCATTCCTTTCCCTGTCGCTCTAATCTCTGCCTCCATCCTCACATGGCCTTCTCCTGATTTTTTCTCTTCTCAAATTTCTCTTTAAGGACACCACTACTCATTGAATTTAGCCCCCCCCCCCAAGTCCAGGATGATTTCATCTCAAGATCCTTAATTAATATCTGCAAAGACTTCTTTTCCAAATAGTATCACATTCATCGATACTGGAACTTAGGACTTAAATATATCTTTTTTGGGGGCTATTATTCAACTCACTACAATGGCTTAACTCACTTTTCTTGCTGAAGGCTTTCCTGACTGGCCCACACAGTTTCTACCTCCTCTGTGATCCTGTGGCACTATTCTAACTGTTTGTGTGCCTTTCTCACATAAGAGATTAGGTGCTTCTTAGACTTGGTTCCTAGCTCAGTGCCTGACATATCATAAGACCTCAAAGACCTCAGCGTGTTTGTTGAACTTAAACAAAGCATTGCTTACGCCACATTGTTATTCTAAGGCTGACTTAAAACAGCAAAATGTTATTCAGACCAGAGCTGCTCATGGTTCACTGTGAAATCAATGGGCTCGCATGCAGGCCAGATATCTTCTCTAAGTAAGAAAATATCTTACTCATGGCTACTAATCCTTTTTATGTCTTATGTATGGTGCCGAGTGGAGAGGGCAACTGTTCATGTGATACTTACTCATTCGACAAATACTGTACACTTGTCCTGAGCCAGGCCCTGCCCTAGGCATTGAGATACAGTGTGCATATGATAAAAAGCAGTCAGCACCTGGACAAGGATGGGGGCCTGTGAACACATAACTTACATTCTACTATGGTAATGACTTGGGTGCTGAGGGAAGTGCAGGGTGCTGTGAAATTCCTAACATGAGCCTGGATAATCTAGACTGCTGGATGGGGAAATTATCTGGGAAGAAGTGATTGATGTAAATGCTGAGACCTGAGGAGCAGTAAGGAATTCTCATGGCGAGGGGGGTAGGGCTGGAGTCTTCCCGGAGAGGCAGGTGCAAAACTGTGGCAGTGAGAGAGAAGGTATGACATGCTTGACAAATGGTTGAGGACTGCAGGGGCAGTGATCCCCTGGAGGCTTGTTAAACACAGATAGCTGGGACTTACCCCAAGAGTTTTTTTTTTTTTTTTTTTTTAAAGATTTTATTTATTTATTTGAGAGAGAGAGAATGAGAGAGAGAGAGCACACGAGAGGGGGGAGGGTCAGAGGGAGACGCAGACCCCCTGCTGAGCAAGGAGCCCGACATGGGACTTGATCCCGGGACTCCAGGATCATGACCTGAGCCGAAGGCAGTCGCTTAACCAACTGAGCCACCCAGGCGCCCCACCCCAAGAGTTTTTGAATCAGCAGGTCTGGGAGGGCTGAAGAATTTGCATCTCTAACAAGTTCTCAGGTGATGCTGATGCTGCTGGTTTTGGGGACCACACTTCGAGAACCACTGTGCCAAAAGGAGCACAATGAGTAAGGTGCAGGATTGGCTAGAGGGGGATGGATTGTAATTTATTGTAATTAATCTAACAAGGGCTAGATTAATAATATAATAATAATATAATTAATTATTAATTGCTCTAGCAGGGGCTAGATTATAAAAGGTCTTAAAAGATATGTTTGAATTGGGTCCTGAGGTCCATTGGAAGCCTTTGATGGGGCTGGATGATGATATACTTTTGGTCACTTCAGTCTACATATGAAGAATCTACTGAAGGGGGCAAAACTGAGGGAGGCTATTGCAGGAATGGAGGAGAGAGACGGTGGTCACGAGTGCAGAGGTGGCAGGGGTGGGGGATGGAGAGAAGGGATGGATTTCAGAAATACAGGACGTGGCATAGGAAAAGTCTGTAAAGGTGTTCCTTTAAAAATTGTCTCCCTCACCATGTATCCATTATGAAATTCTGTCATTAGAAACTGGGGACCAGGTGCACCTGGGTGGCTCAGTCAGTTAAGCGTCTGCCTTCAGCTGGGGTCATGATCCCAGGGTCACGGGATCAAGCCCCACAGCGGGCTCCCTGCTCCACGGGGAGCCTGCTTCTCCCTCTCCCACTCCCCCTGCTCGTGCTTTCTCTCTGTCAAATGAATAAATAAAATCTTAAAAAAAAAGAAAGAAATTGGGGACCAAACTGTGCCCCCCCAGACCAATGACATTGTATCATCTAGGAATTCGTTAGAAATCCACACTTCTGGGGTGCCTGGGTGGCTCAGTCGTTGACTGTCTGCCTTCAGCTCAGGTCATGATCACAGGGTCCTGGGATCAAGCCCTGAATAGGGCTCCTTGCTCAGCAGGAAGTCTGCTTCTCCCTCTCCCTCTGCCTCTCTCTCCAGCTCATGCTCTCTTTCTCTCAAATACATAAATATAAAATGCAAATCTCTCATGGAATGACCTTGTGTTAGAAATTTTTAGAAATGAAATAACAGTGTAAAACACTGGTGAAAACACCAGTCTTTTAGTGGTGATAGGTGGCTGACCCAGATTTTGACAAGATGGTGGGGCCAAGACAGCTGGAAATATGGGGCGCAGACTTGAAGAGAACTCAAGAGAAGTGTTTGTGTCAGTAGTTTTGCTGCTGTGCTTAAGGAAGTTGGTACTTTGCTGCCAATCAAATCTTGCGTTAAGGAAGTGTTTTTTTAAAATTAAAGTCCCCTTGCTCTGGTTCTTAAATACAAGCGTTTGGTTTTCATTAGTTCAACCACTAGATGGCAGCCTCGTGCCACCTTTCAAGCAGTCAGAAAAGTCTAAATTTGGGAGGGGGGGAAAAAAAAAGCCAAGACTTTGGAAAGGATGCCAGCTCATTCGTTTCTATCTGGCGTGTGGTTTTGACATTCTATTCTTTTGGACTTCTTTCATTAATTATGACACTCAAGTTTTTTGTTCACTGAGAGGCAGAGAGCCAAAGCTTTAATTAAACCCGTGGGGGCACTGCCTCTGTAACGACCACGTGCCAGGCACTCTACATAAATTGTTTCATTTAATTCTCATAACGTCCCTATGAACTAAATATTATTAC